GTAATTAACTTCTACTGTTTTTTTTCCCTTCCTCTCTCTCTCTCTCTCGACCTTATAGGGAGGAGTGGACAAAAAAACTTGATTATTTTTATGGTGTTATTTAGTGTTTTGTTTCCTTATCTGATTTGGAATTTGAAAAGGTTTGTTTTTTATCTATAAAACAAAAGGTTTGGTTTGTTTTTAGATATTGTTTAACGATTATAATATCATCTAAATCTACATGAAGACCATTCTTTTTGAACAACACTCAATATACTCATCCAAACGAAAGGAAAAGATCAATTTTTCTTTTAATGTGATTTTTGGGGTTTCTTTCTCTCTGTCTGATTAAGCGCTCTCCTTTCAAGTTTTTATTGTGGTCAGCGACTGAAAGTTCATTGTGGAAGTGACTCCGGACGAACGGCGTGTATGTTTGATCTCTCTCCTCATTAAACTCATACTTGCCAATTGATAACTCTAATTTCTGATGAAATTACTGGTGATAACTTTTTGAAACGGTTATATATGTATTTTATGTGCTATGCTGGTGTGTGTTTGACATTTGAAATCATTATGGAGCATAATTTACAATCTGAACCATATATTTTGTAAGTGACGCATTGGAAGGGTTGTATCAAAAAAATCTCATTCAAAATATGGATTTAGACCTAATCAATGCAAGAAATGAATGGTTTAAATAAGCATTTTCTTTCTTTTCCAATTGTCAAACAGTAGAATGGCCAACTCCAGGGATTTCATACAGGTTATCAAACACAATCCCCAAAATTCAAGTTATGAGTTTGACTGTCTTCCAACTCTCCAGGAAAACCAACTGCTGGGGTTTTCCGGGGGAAACTCTAAAGAAAGTTATCAAACTCTGCCTAAGACTTGAGAGGAATGGGAAAAAAGCTTTCGTGGTGGGTGCAAGTGCAGGGTGCATGCATGCTTGGGTTCTAGCCCAAATCCAATTGGGTTTCTAGTGAGAGAAGAGCACGGACAAGAATATGCTGCAACTATGCAACCATAACAATTGCCCATGACATGCATTCAAAACGATGAGGCTTAGGCTTCCTAATCTATATTCATAGATGCACATGCATTGATACACATTCTTTTGTTATACTATATGATATTTACTATAGAAATGTAAAGATAGAAAATTACCTTTTGTGTTCTATGTATAATCTATACAATGGCAAATATAGAAAACTACCTTTGCTGTGCTCTTTTGTATTTTTTCTTACTTTCACTATGTATGTTTCACGTCGCCAGTTTTTGTATAATATTTTGAGTTGCCAATCTTTTCTAGTGGTTTATATATTTATTATGAGAACTATACAGATGAAAGCTTTCTCATTGAAGGAGATATACTTGGGTTACGACGACATAAATTTGATTTAAATTTTTTGTTTTTTTGCATCATTTTTTATGTCCTGGTAATTTTCAGAAAAATATTTCATACTCGTTTTAGCTTTGTAAGTTAGTGCTGTAGTTAATGTATTGTAAAGTTAATAGGGGGGTTGTGGTGGTAGCACCACTTGTGCTTCAGTTAAGGTCTAGGCTTCCATTTTCACCTAACACATTCAAAAAACCTCTAACGATTTAAAAAACGGGTAGGGGCTCGTCATCCCCACTAGATTATCCAAAAAACAAAAAAGGAAAAAAAAAGGATTAATTTTCCTAATGAATTTCAGAAATGAAGGACAACGTGCTTTTGTATTTCCTGCTGCATTTTCTATTTTCTGCATTTGTTATTTTCTGGATTTTATATCATCAGCTCTTCGCAACAAAGTCGTAATTGTTGTTGTGTCCTTGTCAGGCTGATTGGCTTCTCTGTTTGACACTCACTCAAAGTGTTGTTCTTTGTCTATTCAATCGAAGTGTGCATGCCATTTATTTCAAACTTTAAGCAATAGAGAATTAAACATTATGAGGATTTATTTTTTAATTTTTAAGGGTGTTTTAGTTCAACTTTAAAACATGTTTGTAGGGTGTGTTTCAGTAGAGAGTTTAGATTTCAATTCTCATGATCCTTGAGTGCCTGATCGATGCTCAAGTTTCTGAACCTGTTGGTAGAACCTGTAAATAGCTACTCCTTTGTTAGTGGTTGAGTTTGGGCATGATTTCAAAATGTTTTCTTTGCAAAGTTAAAGCCAAAACATTTTGACTGCAGTGAACGTTGTGCACCTACGACTTTTGACTGCAAAAGAATCTTTGAGCATAAACAGTGCTGAATCGTGCAATCTTTCAGTGCAGATAGCGCCCACTCTATCAGTGCGACATGGCCTTATTATGTTGAAAGTTGTTGACTTTTAACGTAATTTTAGTGAACCTAAACGTTAATCCTAGAAAACAAACTCTCAACCACTCAGTACTTTTGTCACTACTTTTGCCCCAGTGGTGCCATATAGAGGAAGTTCGGCTATCGGCATGAATATCGCAGGCGTTGGTCGACCTGTGAGCAAGTTGGAGGGAATCCGTCCTCTTGATGTCGCAGGAGGCGACATGGGTCATGGTGGCAGCATCGGAACTGACCACAGACCCTTGCACTTGGTGGCAGTGAAGGACCTGACCTTGTGGAAAAATGAGATCTTGGCGGCGTAGACCTGGCCAAGAGAGCTAACTACTTGGTGGCAGCAACAGATCTGGCTTAGTAGACAAGCTGAGGACTTGGTGGCAACAGTGGACCTGCCCAAGTGTGCTGAGCAGAGGCTTGGTGGAGTGTTCAGAGGCGCTGCATTGAGCTGTAGTTTTATGAGGACTAAGTGAGAGGCAAGTCTCTTCGGGATGGGTTTAACTTGGTGGCAACAGGCAGTACTGGCCAAGTGAACGAATTGAGGACTTGGAGGTAAGAGGACCTAACCAAGTGAGCTAAGTGGAAGCTTGGTCGGATGAGTATGGACTATACTCTGAGTTAGGTTTTATGGGGACCTAGCGTAGGGTGAGCGTCTGACAAGGATGTCGGAGTTTAGGTGGGGTAGGCTTGTCAGGCCCCTTTTCCCTAAACACTGAGTTGGTGCAGACAGCCAGGTTCACAAGATGCACGCAGCTTGGTGTGTGCGGTAAAAGGCGACCTGCGGCTGGATAGGCAGCTTTGGGCGCAACGATGTGAGGCAGTGGTGCAAGTGCGAGATGCCAAGCCTATGCAACCTATGCGTGTGGGTGAAGGCAGCTTGGTATTGGTGTGTTGTGCAAGTATAACTGCTGGAGGTGCAATTGGTGCATGGTGCTGGTCCACTAAGGCAGTTAGACTCGGGTGGATCAGCTTAAGTGGGGCTGAGGATGCGTGTGGATCTGCCTGGTGGGGCTGGGAATGCACGTGGAGCAGCTTGGTGGGGCTGCATAGCCTTGATGTTTAAGGGTTATGCTGCTTGAGACTAAGTTGTGCTAGTTGGGCCCTAGGTGCGGACATGACTCAGAGCCTGGAATTTTGATACTTCTCCTATATTTGAGGGGAGTGGGGGAACCTTGGGTCACCGGCCCCCAGCGGTGGACAAGGACCCAACAAGGTGCACATGCCCTTGCAGAAGGTGGACTGAGAGACGAGTGGGCGCCTAAGAGCTGGAAGGCGTCCCATTCGAATACAAACTCACCTTGGTGGGCAACGTGGCATGATGCCCTTGTTTCGAGGCTTGAAGACCAGGGTGCTCAGCCCGACGTGGCAGGGGCCTCAAGAGCTCAAGGCTGGACGCAGTCAAGGCGCAAAGCCGGGCGGTGGATAAGCCGCCTATGTGGATGGCGCAAGAGTCGGTCTTGCCCCTTACGTGGCAGACTCAGTCTTGCCCCCGACGTAGCAGAGACCACAAGACCAGGAGGGAAGAGCTGAGGAGCGCAAGACTAGGTCTTACCCCCGACGTGGCAGAGACCACAAGACCTGGAGGGAAGAGCTGAGGGGCACAAGACTCGGTCTTGCCCCCGACGTGGCAGAGGCCACAAGACCTGGTCTTGCCCCTAGACATGGCAGAGGCTGAGGCCTCAGCGCTAAACTCATGAGGTGGGCAGCTAGCTGCCTTCCAGCTGCCCACGACCAGGTCCAAGAGGAATACATGAGCCCCACGCGTTCTCAGTTCAAAAATTTAAAACGGGGCTATAAAAGCCCCTAGCCCACACCCTTGAGGGGGCATCTGTGGCTGTACACATTTCAACTGTATAATGAATACATTGAGTTGAGGTCCTTTACTATCTTTGTTTGTGAGTGTGTTTTGTGGCTTGACTTTCTCTATCCCCCATCTCTAAGGGGCGTGATTGTGTGTGAAGGCTGGTCTAGCCTTGGATCGAGTGAGGATCAAGGCTAGCTGCCGCACGGGTTAGTACCAAAAAAAGTGATACCATGACAGTAGACAAAAAAATTGTATCAGAGTGTAGGTGAATGTTTTGTTTGGAGAGAGAAAATCTCTTCCAAAAGCATTGTACCTTCAAAAAAAGTAAAGAAGAAAAAAAAAGATGGTGAAGGATTCATTAAATTCATAAAGGTCTCTCTAGACCTCACCGCATATGTGCCAAAAGGAAAATCAAAAGGTGCTCCTCAAGATGCCACTTGTAAGAGTGGAAGTGCATGAAGGACACTTAGTGCAAGAGTGAAAACATGGTGAGGGTATGAAAAAGTTTTGCAAAAGTATGGTGCATCTACAAGACCACAAAATTCAAGTAGACTAGCAGCTAAAGAATGTTGATTTTGAAACATAAATTTTAGCAAAAAGCTAACAAAGTGGTAGCTTTTTTCTAAAATTTTTGTTTCAAAACATTTTTTATTGGCTGTTATTTTAAATGACTCTGTGTGGTTATGTAGGATTGCCATTACTTTTGGAAAACTTTTTCATACTCTTACCATGTTTTCACACTTGCTTTATGTGTCCTTCATGCATTGCCACTCTTACAAGTGGCATCCGTAGGAGCACCTTTTGATTGTTCTTTGACACATATTTGGTGAGGTGTCTTTCTTCACCAAATTTTGGTGACACATATTTTGGTGATTGTCCTTTGCACATATTTGACACATATTTAATGCATCCTTCACAATCTCCTTTGCTCTTCTTCAATTTTGAAAGAACAATGCTTTTGGAAGAGATTTTTTTCTCTCTCTAAACATACCATTCACTCGCTCTCTCACTAAGTAAGGCCCTCTAAGGGCTCTGTTAACAGGAAGGAGCTTCCTGTTACTAAGAAGCAAGATGTTCTCTCTCTCTCTCTTGTTAATAAAGCTCACTTGAATTTTCAAGTAACTGTTTTATTTTATGGCATGAGTTCTTTACCCAATCAATGTTATACTGTCGTTATTTTACCAATTGGAAGACTTTTTTTAGTGAGAGAGAAGATGTTCCCAATCGATGTTTTATTGGATGATAAATTTTGTAGCGAGAGATCAGTTTTTTTCCAATTGATGTTTGTTGTATTATACCAATTGGAAAAACATATCAAATTTATAGACTGTGGTTTTACATGGGTCTTCTGAGTGTACAACTCAGGGACTCAAGAATTTATTTTCGATCTGGTTGTATCTTGGGAGTGTACTCGCGGAGATCCATTTGTGTTGGGGAATTTTACCGAGACAGGGGCGTTTAACACTTCGAAGAAAGCGAGCTCCTCTCGTGCCTCCAGATCCCCTGATTTTAGGTTCCGTATTTGGAAGTTCATGTCCACCGTGATGTTTGGTAAACCACAGAGAGACCCCCAAAAAACCAACACTTTCTTTTATAAGAATTATGCATGCAATTTGTACATCTTTCTTTTATCATGTAGAAAGGCTCCAAGTTTCCCAGTTTTATCAAGTTTCCTAGTTATTATGCATCAGATTCTATGAAGTGTTGTTCCTATGGTGAGTAGCTACTGCATAGTGTTGGCAATGTTATACAATTTTATAATTGATGAAATATGGCTTGATACTCAAATGACCAAATTGATAAACCCAATACCTCTGTAGTATACATCATTCTATTTATTTCTCTAATTAATAAGAGCGGGTTAAGTCTGTTTCTTTACTACAAAGGTATTAGTAGTGTAGTAATTTTCCCTCACATCATGGGGTTCTAAGGGTTTCACGGGATTTTTATTTTGGGGTTTAATCTCAGGATCTCACAGAAAAAAAGAATTTGGTCATTAAAAGATTGCAATTGATTTCATTTAAGATTCTGCTCGTTGCTTTCACAGAGTGGAAACAGGCTTTATTTATTTATTTATTTTTTCCTTTTTCCCTCAAGGGTTTATTCTCTGTTTTTTGGTTTTCACAGAGAGAAAAGAAGGGAAAACCAGTTTAGTCCTCTTATCCTTCCTCTTCTTCATCCAGTTCTCTGTATTTTTTCCAGAGCTTTACAAATGGATGATGGATCAACCAATCCTATAAAACCTAGAAAGGTTTGTAAAGTAATTTTTCTTCAGTTTTATACTGAATTACTGAACTTCCAAGCCTTTAAATTGCTACTATTTGCCTGCTCATGATTTTTATCTGTATTTTTTTATCTTCTAATGAGTTAGGTGCATTTCTTTTTTGCTCTGTGTTTTGGTTGATACAGTTTATGCCAAAAATGCGCCCAAAAAGAGTGCCGAATCCTGCTGAAGTTAAGAGGTATGTTTTGTTGTTGTCATCATCATCGTCATCATCATGATGATGATGATGATCATCATCATCATCATCATCATCATTATTATTTGTTGTCTTCATCATAAGTTTGTGAATTGCAGAGAAACAATTGAGACTGCGGATGAGAAACTATCAAAGGAGTTGTTGAAACTCATTAAGGTGTGAGCATCTTAATTTACAAGAAATTTTATTTAGCTTTAATTAATAAAATAGATGTTTATTTGGATCTGTTAGATAATGTAATTGGTTTATGTTTTGTTAATGTTCTCATAATGACTAGTATAAAATTGTTTTATATTAACTACTTAAATTTGCAGCAACGACAAGAAGATGGAGGGAGATTGCCTAAAATTGAAAAGAAAGGTGACTTTGTTATTCCATTCCTGCTGTATTGGGTTGTTGCAAATTCATAACCTTGGATTATATTATTGCAATTTCTTATGCTTATTTCATTGATGCTCTCGCTTTGGTAAAGGGAAGAGCTGGGGAAACTTGGTGATGCTCTTTAGCTTGGTTAAGAGAATACACATCAACGATTATCTATTAGAGGGTTCAATTAGTGTAGCTCCTTTTGACTGTAAATAAAATAAAATTTGAAAAAATGGTTAGGACTCATTATTCTAATACAGGAATATGACCCCAACTAATTGGGATAAGGCTTGGATGATGATGATGATCCTAATATCGCAATACATAACTATTGGGTTATTCATTTTCTAATTTTTTTTAGTCAAAAACAGAAAACCTACATGTCTTGTGCTTTTAATGTTGGAAGACTTTGGAATTGAGTTACTGTACACAATCTCATGTTATGAGACATTATAGCTTCGACATAAACGGTAGAGTGGGAGTTATTGGAAGAGGGAGTATGATTAAGCAGTTAACCATCATCTTATTCATAAGTATCATGGAAAAGAATCCTTGTAATAATACCCTGATGTCTTAATTATGTAGACTGTGCATGCTTAAGTATGTAACCATAGTTGTTGGAAACGCCTGAGAACTTGAATCCTTTTAGGAACCGGAATCGTGGCCGGCTAGAAGATTCTTGTCTTAGGAATCATTGTCCGTATAATAGGAATCGCTAGGAACAATATTCCTAGATTTTGAGAATCGTGTTTTGACTTAAATAGATCCAAGGTTCATCCACATGGAATCGAGATTCCATCCTCCTTGGAATCGATATTCCCATCCCGTTGGAATCGACACTCCAGGAGTCTACATTCATTAATATGCGGAATCGAGTTTCCGACATCAATGAAATCAAGTTTCAGACATGTGTAGAACAAATTTATGTTGCTGGTTCGAATCGTGATTCTAACATATTTGGAATCAAGTTTTTGAAGTATATATATCAGAGATCCATGCCAGTTTGAGATCGAGATTTCTAATAATATGGACTATGAAATGCATTTGACGACCCCTACCAGGAATCGGGATTTCCTTTTTATGGAGAAGGAAGCCACAAGCACATCTTCAGCCTCATCAACTTTAGAACTTATAGTGGATGTCTCTAAATATAAGGTTTCCCAAATTTTAAAGTGTTTGTGTTGACTATTGAATTTATGGTCTTTATATAAAAAAGACAAGTATCTCTAAATTGTGATATTGACTTCATTATTATAAAGACAAAATAGGATTGTGTCTACGCCATGGTTTTACTTTTAATTGTATGTGTTGTAGTTACCAGCTATATTTTAAATTTAAAATAAAGGCCATTTAGGGTGGCACAAATAAAATAATGAAACTCTGTAAGCACTAGAAGCATTCGAAAGAAAATTTCTACTCCAATTGAAGTGGAATCATGATTTAATCCTCTCTGAAATCTAGATTCGATATATTTGGAACGTTTACCTACAATTAATGGGTTCAAGTTTCTAAAGATGTGTTGGATTCAGTGTTTCAAAAAGCGCTAGGCGGGTCCTAGGCGGATTGGGGGGTCCAAGCGCCAAGGTGGGCGCCCAAAACCTGGGCGGCCTAGTTGAATACAAATAAGGATTCTGCAGTCCAGTTGAATCCAAATAAAGATTCTGCAGTTATTTGAGTATCAGACTATCTGTTATATTCAAATTATACTACATATTAGCATTTAGCACACATTCCATAAGCATAACCATAATCTATAAGTCGGTTCATATTTCATAATCCATATCCAATTAAAACTTAAAATATGCCAACCAACCAAATTATAAAACTATGAAAGTAGTACTTGAAGACTCAAAAGAATCTTCAATAGTTCAAATGTTCAATGCACAATACTTCAATTAAAGACTCAAAGTTCAAATTTCAAAGTAACAAAGTTTAATAATTATTCAACAATCAATATTCATTCATCATCAGAAAATCTTGGGTCAGCTGTATTGGCATCATATTCATCGGAGTCGACGGAGTCGTCACTCTCCTCGACATATTGCGACTCGTCTTCCTCCGTCTTTTGTGATTCTGCCTCTTCTTCCTCCTCTTCCTCCACCCTTGTTCTCCGTGCAGAAGCTCTAGTGGCCCTAGGAGGGTCAACTGATGTCCCTGAAGCATCCATGACTATGTCCCATGTCAATCTTTCATGCCTCTCGACCTCATCATCATCAACTAACCAATCCCTGGGGTCTCTATTATCTCTCTTAGCAAATCTGTCCTTCAAGAATCGATTGTACTTGACATAGACAAGGTCATTGAGCTTCTTTGATTCAAGCCAGTTCCTTTTTTTTGTATGAACCTAACAAAATAAAATGAAAGTGAACTAATTAAAATCTAATATCTATGGTTCATGTATTATTTATAACATCATACAAATTACCCTAATGGCTTTACCCCTTCAAAAGTACTCCAATTGCGCTCACAACCAGATGAAGAAGTGATTCGGTTTAAGATCCGAATGGCCAACTTTTGTAAATTTGGAGCACTACGCCCTTGTTGGCTCCACCAATGGGCTGCAAAGAAATAAAAAAAATCATAAATAAATAATAGAAATACTTGATTACTTGAACAGTTGAACTTGATGAAGATGAACTTAAGAATATTATTAATATAATAATATTTAATACCTGGATTAATTTTGGTCCTTTGCCTCATCGCCATTGGACTCCCAAAAGACTTAATGAGCACTTGTAATTTATCAGCTCATCAGCGCATATAATGTTCTGCATTTCAAGATCAGGGACTAGCACTTCTACACACTTATTAAATCCATCCATAATTGTGTCATTTGTTTGTGTATCCTTGTCAATATAAAATAAAATTGGGTTAAAAAAATAACCAGCTTCGTGCATTGGCCGATGTAGCTACTTATTCCACTTATCATCAATAATCTCGCAAACAGGCTTGTAGCGGGTTTCTTCATCATTGAAAATTTGGGCTATCTCTCTTTTGCATTTCTCCATAGCATCATACATATAGCCCATAGAAGGCTTGTCACTATCAATCATGCGAAGGACTTTGATAAGAGGAAAAAATACCTTAAGAGCGTCCTTCACCCCTTGTCAAAAAGTCCTAGAAAGTATAATATCTCTCACCTTCTTCCCAATCTGAGCCTTAGACCACTTGCATGCTCTGCACTCATCTGAGGTAAACATTTGCCTCAACTACCCTTTCCTCGAATGTATGCTATCTAGGCATAAGTACCAGGTCGCAAATCTCGTGACCCCAGGCCTCACAATCTCTTTCTTCTTTGTAAGGTACGCATCGTGCTGAGGGTGATTTGGTGGCTATAAATGAAATTCGTAACATACTTGACCTTCTTCACTGCACCTGATATCTCAGTTAAACCGCCAAGAGCCTTAAGCATGAGGTCACAATGTGCTGCACATGGTGTCCAAAAGATTCTAGGATAAGCTATGCACAGTAACATTAGGAGCAACATTGTCTGTGACAACCTGTACAACAAGATGCTCCCCAACCTCTTTGATTCCCTTCTCTATCACTTGAAATATGTAATGGGCATCATGGATATGATCAAAGGCATCATGGATATGATCAGAGGCATCAATAGCCTAAAAAAAAAAGTCCCTACTGGACAATTCACAAGAAAATTCATTTTAGTTCTTCTCTTCCTTTCACTCCAAGCATCAGTCATAAGAGAAACCCCATACTGAGCCCATGCATCTTTCTTAAGTTCTACAGCTTCCTTCGTGGCATTCATTGCCTTTTTTAATAAAGGCTCTGACAGCTCATATGGGGTTGGGGGTTTCATCCCAGGGCCAAATTGGCCAATTGCCTCTACTGCAGCATAAAAGCTGCTCAAGCGAGCGCTATTGAAAGGAATGTCTACCTCATAAAACCATGTAGCCAATTTAGTCGGGGTTTGATGCGGCGACGCAATTTGATGCGGTCCCGATGTGGGCGTATCACCTTTAATATCGTCGATGAATTTTAAAAATTTTAAAAATCCAAAACATATAATAATACATGAAAAAAGTAGGAATGCGAGTTATGCGATAGTAGGCATTTTAATCTATTCAGTATCTATAATATATTAGTTGTCTGAAACTTTTGAGTTCCCCGATAACCTAATAAAGAGTAATAGAGTTTGGTCTTCTAACTTCTAATCTTTAGTGGTTCAAATGTCCACCACAATGAACATGTAAAACAAAGCAAATCCATTCCATCTCATATAAACTATATGAAGTTCCAAACATTAAAGTTTAAACTCCAAAGAGGCAAAGACAAAAAGTATGTGACATATAAAAGAAAAAGATAATCATCTCTAAACTCTTAATCAGACAAGTCATCAAATACTTGAATCTCTTCTATCAATTCCTTTTGTCTCAATATCTTCTTTTCTTTTGCTTTTTTCTTAGCTACTTATGTGTGCTTTAATCTCTCTTCCAATATTCCCGGTTGCTTGTGGGTATTCTTTAACATTGCCGGTAATACCGGCTAGGTGTTCCTTTTGCTGGAAAATGCTCCACGTATAAGCATTTCCCACATAGAGCAGAAATAGCGTAATTTCAATCCTTAGGGTTTTCGAATTTAGCATACATCCATGCATGATTCTTGTTATGTGAAGATGATGAAGTCATTGTTCCCCCCATAAAAACGTATTAGGAAATGAAAAATGTATCAAACAACCCAAAGAAATTTCGGTTCGGGCGATGCGGCTGCATATGCAGGTGCAACACATTTTGCCGCATATGCGACCTGGAGATCATTGCTCCATGCTGCATAACACATTATGTGGCTTCATAATGCGCTCCAGGCTGCATAACACATTATGTGGCTGCATTTTAAAACAATGGTTCTTATTAAGAAGAAAATGGCAGAGAATAGATTGAGATTTTTCATAACATTCTACTCCCTTTTGTACTCACCCTTACATAGGAGATTGATGTCTTTTACCACTTAGTTGCCCATCAAATGCATTTATGTAGTTTGTAATTTTGTTGGCATTGTAGATGGTGTTTTTCTTTTCTTTTAGTCAACTGTGGTATAGGTTTTCAAAACCTCATCTTTAGACACCAAACATCAATTTTCAATGTAATGTTACCATCTTTACATGGTATCAGAGCAAGGTCTGTAATTTTTTTTCAAATGGCTTGAAAAACATGCTCTCCATGACCACTGTAGAGATACCTTCACAAACTTCTCACATGGAAATATGATACCACCTCTATGATAATGACCTCTAATTTGGACACCATGCCACAAGCATGATAGCCCTTGTTTTCGCTCTCTAGGAGGCACACGTCATCATTCGAGCGTTAAGATCAGCTATTAGAACCTAAAGCTGCCATCTTTGCATCCCATTTCCCACCCATCCCTTTCTCATAGGTGTTAAATGATAGAATGTCTATTAGGGAAATAGATATATAATCTCTAATAAATTAAAGGAAAATGTTTATAGAAAATTGCAATCTTATACTATAGAAGTAAGGTTAGAAAAGAGTGTTTTGAAGTTGGAAAATCTTCCACCTGATCATCTTGACTTCGAGATGTATGGATATAAAAAAATTTAAAAAAACAAAATAATTTTAAATCCTAAAACTAGTGATCTTGCAGCAAGTTTTTTGGACCGTCTATTTTCAAGATTTCAAATTGTTTATACATATGCTGGATCTGCACAGTTTTTAGAATTTTAAATTTTATAATTAGGGTGGAACATAGATTTTCATTGCATCGTAAGTTTTCCGACACCGGAACTAATCTTCTAGCAAATTTAGAGGTGCACCTTACTTGTATAGTATAAGGTGGGCACCTTATACAAACCCCACCCTAAATTTTATAAAAAGCAAACAAAATAAATAATGCTGTGGATTTTCCTCCATATATTTTCATGCTTTCTCATCTCAGATTCACAATTTTCAGGGGCACCTGTTCAAGTTGCATTTGGATATGGAAATGCACCCAATTTTTCAAATTCATCTGGTTATTCCAAAGGTAGCATTAAACCTAAAGGGATAAGTCAAGCATTTGATGGTAAGATTATCTTCTATTTCTTTTGAATGAGAAAACCATCTATGGAGCAAGACAATGATTCCTTTCCATATGCTACTTTTGACTCTGAGATCCCGAATGTGCAGATGGGGGCAAATTTGTGGATCTGAAGAGGGATGTTGGTGCAAAGCAGGAAAAGGAGTATGTCGAACCATGGGTTAGTTTGTTCCCTACCCCCGACCCCTCCTCTCTCTCTCTCTCTCTCCCTATCTCCTTCCCTCCCTTCCTCTCTCTCTCTGTGTTGAATTCCTTTTATGTTGGTTTTGGCTGTAGGATTACCATTCAAAATATCCTGTCGCCTTTCCTCTAAGGAGGCCATACTCTGGGGATCCAGGTATTTATTTATTTTGAAAATTAGGGGACCCGGGTATTATCTGAGGCTAACTCAGATTATTTTTTTATCTATTAACTATTGCTATTAGATGGAGTGAACAGTCCACTGAGGGATTCTGGTTTACTTCTTGTTAATTGGGCCAAAATCCATGTCTTGAGTATGCAAAGACACCCTTGAGCTATGTGATACACTAGTAAAAAACTACGACAGTTTTTCTTGTACCAGAAATTCTTGATGAAGAGGAGTTTGGGGAGTCTTCGGCGAGTAAATCAGTTTCCAATAAGGATTCTATAAATGCTGCAGAAGAGCTTGGTGTGAAGGTATATTATGTGGCTTTACTCTTTTGGTATTCTTTTCAATTTATCAATAGAAGATGACCATGAAAATGTGACCACTTTCCAATCGTTATACTAGAGCTTGAAAACCATTTTAAAAACCATGCTGTGTTTGACATATTAAAAAAGATAACCTGAAAAGCAACCAGAAAAATATCTTCACAGTAGACAAATTCATCATTTCATCACTCCCCTCTGTCTCCGGCCCACTTCTTACTGGGTATACACACATACACACGCGCACGCAGAGACACACACATGATAGGAAGGGGACACTCTTATTCTTTTTGTTTTCTGAAGTGATTTATTTGACCATCCAAAAATTGACATCACTCATCTTCTGGCTGTCCTACCTGCACATGAGAGGAAGTAGACACTCTTTTTCTGTGTTTTCAGAAGTGATTTTATTCAACCATCCGTAAATTGATTCTTGAATTAGTTTGTACTGTTGCAAATACTTCATTTCCTAATGGTGTTATATGCTTGTATGTATTTTGTGGGACTGGTGACAATTCTTCTGGTATATTCTAGATATTTCTGTTTGATACTCTGGTGTAGCAGGATTCAGTTTGGGATTGGCTAGGGTCCTGAGTCTGAGTCAGCTGGTTTGACTCGGCAGAGTCACCGGTAAGTCCTGAGGTCCTGGCTCGGGATTTTAATCACTGATATTTGAAGACCACATTTTCTGGTGTTTCTTGATAGGAAGAGAGAGAAGAGCCCCGGTTGCTATTTTTCCAATTGCCAGAAACTTTTCCTGTACCAAAGCGATCAGCCACTGCAGAAGGCAATGAGGCGCATGATGACTCAGGCCTAAAGAGAATTGGCAAATCACAGATGCCCTCTCGTCTTGAGGACTTGCAGACTGGTTTTATGGGGAAGCTGCTCATCTATGAGAGTGGTGCTGTCAAGTTGAAGATTGGTGACACTCTTTTCAATGTGAGTATAAATAACAACCCAATTATTTTTTATTCCTACATTTTATCTGATATCTATATGCCTCTAAAATAGTTTATGTTACACAGTTCTGGTACCATTGATGTGCTTCTGCTTTCTCATCTAAAGATACAATTGAAAACCTTGAAATGGCTTGCTTCTTTATTCAGTGTCTCATAAAGCACTTGGGTACAGTATGATGTCCAATGTCACCTGGAGTGAACTTTTTCTTTTAATCAACTTGCTTTCTTTCAACTTGATCTCCAGTGTCTACTCAACTAAAGAGTGGTCGTCGGTTCTGAAAAAAGCCCACATCTATTACAACATTAGGGATGAACTTGCTTTGCCATTTTATCCAAGAGAGAGTCGAAGCACTGTCATGAATAATGGACATCTTCAATGTAATGCACTTGTTCTAATGGTAGCATTCAGTGTTACAAAACCTGGATCGGCGGGGTGGGTCATCCACTGCGCATATCCATGTCAGATAGCTGGATCATTGAATCAGGATCGGGTCCAAATCAGTGATCCAAAAAAACATTTAAAAAATAAAAATTGGTGTTTATCTACGGGGATATAGGACATAGGAAAGCATTATATAACCTTAAAAAGAAAAAAATAATGAGAAGGGGTGGCTTAGGGGGGAACAGGGCTGGTACCGATACCTTCCTGGAACCAGTTCACTCCCAGCTCCAAATTGGGAATCGTCGTGTTCTGAAACATTGGTAAGATTGGAAGTGGGAAGTTCTGGAAGTTGTAGGCTTGGGCTGAAAGTAAATGGTAGGTTATCCTACACACATTGAAGGAATAGGTTCTGCATATCTACTATACAAAGTAGAGAGCAAGCAGGTGGAAGATACTAAGAATGTAAAAATATGGAGCATAAACTGTGAAGTATGTTGGTTTGGAGCAAAAAGCCTAATGTTGGGAAGCGTTCATTGATAAACGTATGCAACATAGTTGATAGTAAAAAATAATTATTCATAGTTGATAGTAAAAAATAATTATTTTAATGTAGGCAGGAGTATTCCACAACTTGTTTCAAGTTTTTTGACTCGTGAGTATATTCGACTGGCAAGGTGTCGGAGTTCGATTACGAGGAACTAGGTTTAGCTGATTTCCCCTGTATTTGATTACTAGAATCCGTTTCAAAAGAAATCGTGCGTTTTTTGGTAGGACGTGCTTCCCTGTGTATACTTTGCCTTAAGTCCGAATGTTTTTACCAAGAATGGTTATTTTTCAAAACTGAAATACTCACCGAGCTTTTCATCGAAATTGAAAGACACCGGCATATTGACTGGATTTGGCAATGACCATGTTAAGACCAAATTCAAGTCTTTAAATACTAGTTAGCTTGAAATTAAAAACACTTGGAAAAGTTAACGCGTTAAAAATAAAATAAAATTACATACACTTGGAATATACTAGTCTATCAGGAAGCAGAATTTAGGAAAGTAGCACTTCACCCAAGACTTTGAAATTTTTTCTCGTCCAACAAAGGGAAGCGTCCTACAACTTATTTATACCTTACCCTCTCCCTTGAGCAGGACACTTTGCATACTTATTGGTATTTTTGAGTCTGGAAGTCTATTTCATAATTTGAGAGAAACAATTTAACATTTCTACCCTTAGATCTCCTGCTGCTCTCTTTTGGTCATTCGTTGTTTCTGCTGATTGATCTCTCTCTTACACACACAGAGATGCATACACACGAACACATGGCGTTCTTGTTTGTTGCAAAATGGTTTCACACTTTGAATCATGGGTTCTCATGAACCAATCTTGACTTTCATCTTGATTCTTGAATATGCTTTATTATGATGGGTTGAATATTTGGGTCTTCCATTCTTTTCTTCACAATTTTATGCTCTCCCCCCTCTGTGCACGCGTGAGTCTTTAAAAGAACTCCCATTCAGTTGAAGTTGATCATTGTTGCCTTACGTTGTTCAGGTTTCACCAGGGTCCTAAGTGTGAGTTTGCCCAAGACGTTGCAGTAATTAATACCAGGGACAGACAGTACTGTGTGCTGGGAGAAATTAACAGGCGTGCTATCGTGACTCCTGATATCGATGATCTTTTGAAGAATTTGTAGTGATCTCCCTCTCAAAACTGGGAACACTGTATCTCAATTTTTCTCAATGAAATTGTGGAGAGGGATTAACATGCAAATAATTTTGGGGCAACAGCGGTAGCTGATCATTTACATGGGCTTCTTAGGCTTTGATTTGGGCTTTATAAGAGGTATAATATGCATGATCCTCAATACCATGGAAGAATGATCACCTTTTTTAAGGTGATGGAGAGAATGATACTCATCAGTTGCAGGTTCTGTCTCTACTTTACGGGTCCTCATTCCATCAACTATCTTCGGTCTTAACTAGTGTTTGAAAAATCGGCGATCCGATCTGGATTGGATATCGTCCAAGTTGTTTCGGATCCAACAAAAAATCAGCAATCCCATTTAGATCGGATATCATCGAGGCCGTCCTGCATTAAAAAAAAAAACGGTATTCGGCTGCTTTTTAACTTTTAAATGGCCATGTTGATGTCAATGATGTCTGTTTGACGCTTCCGTACCATTTTATTATTAAATTTTTTTAGAAATTCTCAACCTTGTATGGGAGATGGTGGGCCTTTCACGCAACCCTACTACCAATTCCCAAACAATTATTTAATGGTGAGTTTGTTGCATCTTATTTTATATGCCTTTTCTGTTCCACATCTCTTCCATTTTATGGACAATTTTCATAGTCCAACCCCAAAAATGATGGGATTGTTGCATTGAATGAGAGATGGTTACCAAAAAATAGAAGCAGGTTTACATCCGCCGCCAACCCAAAAGCATCTTTCGAATCATCTCGTCTTTTTCTCTCTAAAAGTTTCTCTCTCTAGAAACAGGTTTATATCAGTCCCACCTCTCTTTCGAAGTAGGTTTATATTCTCATAGCCCAACCCAAAAAAAATTAATTTAATACTATTAAGTAGGGATGGGTGGGCGATCAATAAAAGGGGTGAGCCACCTGATCATCATACATTATAAATTCTACGAATAGATATTTTTCTCTTATACAAGGACATATATAAAAATGAAGTGGTCTACAATTTTTTTTAAGGTTAATTATATTTATTTATTTTTAAAATTTAATTTTTTTTAAGATTAATTATATTTATTTATTTTTTATGATATACAAACATAATATATATAAAATTAATTTTTAATTACATATAATTATAAAAATAAAATTTCATATAATAATTTTAAAAAATTAACATAATTATATGAACTTGTTGTACTAGCTCATATATTAAAAAAGCAAAAAATTATACTAACATTGGTTTGTTGAACATTAAAAAAAACTAGTATATGGGATATTTTAATATAGAAAAATAACTTTAGCTCGTACCACTTTGGAATTTATTTCAAGTTGTTTTATCAATTATCCCACATTGCAAATATGAACTTTTTTGTTTTAAATTTTATTAAAATATGATTGGAAATTTATGTCATTAATTTTATATTTCTATCAACACTAATTATTATACATTAGATTTGTTTATTTGTGAGGGTCTTAGCCTTGTTTTGTTAATCATGTTTATTATAATACTGTAATTAATAATTATACTAATTATAATGATAATCAAATCTTATATTTTATTTATTAATTTATTTACATTATAAATTATGCAATGTATTATTTTTTGTTATAGTAGTAAATTATAATTTTAAATTAGATGATATTATAAAACAAATTTCAAATTTATTTTTATTTGTATAGTAAAATGATGATAAAATAATAAAATACAAGCAAATAATTTTAATTTCAATGTATAATATTGTATTTAGTAGGTTTTAATAAATGTTTGATGAAAATTTTCATACAGGCAAAAAACATCGTAATATTCACATTTTGATGCAAAAAAATAAAAGTTATTAATGTAGCACGCTCATTTCTTTTAGAATTCTAACAAAAAACATTTATAATGATTTTTTAATAATTTTTTTTAAAGCCAAATCTGATCGAGGCACCGATCCATTTTTTAAACCACTTATCTTAGCCATTGATTGATATAGCAGACATGTTTATGAGTTTATCCATATTTGTATTATGAGATGCTAATTGCTCTAATAATAGATGCTCTCTAGATTCAACGATATTTCGTTTTCTTATTATTATCAAATAGCTTGCAGAAAGAGATGCATTGTGTCATGAAGAGCAAAGAAAAATGTATATGTTTTCAACAAATACTGTTTTCTTCTTCAGACGGGACAATTACTCTTGTTCGTTAGATTTTTCAACAAATACTATTTTCTTCTTCAGATGGGATAATTACTCTTGTTCGTTAGATTTTAAAAATTCAAAAGAATTTGTAAACTTTGTGACACCCCTCAAGCTATCCGGTTTGAGGTCTAATTGATAGGAGTAACTGTAACCTCCTTGTAACAATAGTAAATGTTCTCATAGTGAAATCTCTTATATTAAAGAAAATTGTTTCATGTGGGCTGGATGGCATTTTGCGGTCCAAAAAGTGTAAAGCATCCATGCAAATAGGTGTTTCATCTAAAAACAATGAAAAATAAATGGTCGAAATATTTAGAATTATTATTTATAGTTTAAAATTTATTTATTTGTTCATTCATGATTTCAATGTTAAAGATTACATGTCCTTAAAAATTAACTCTTAAAATCCATCTAAAAAATATATTTATGATAAAGATCGGCATTTCTATATATACAGGCTTGGCCACATAGAAACCGGGTGATGTACATGCATTAGCGCATCTTAGAAGGTAGTGATTTGAAAACAGGAACTGGGCCTACATTTCATTCTGATACTCCTTTTCCAACTTTGATGATTCTCGCGTCAGATCATCACCCAATCATGGCACGGATATAATAGGAAATTAAAAAAGATGTAAAAAGTCAGAGGAGTTGGGCAATTTTGGGGTTCTTCAAATTGGGATCTCCAGCTTATTGATCCTGATCCATTTTGGGTGATTTTGATTTGGATCCATGATTTTCTACATGAGTGCGTTTAGGGCATGTAGTGTACGTGTCTAATTTATTCCAAAAATGAAGCATACCATGCACCTGCTGCGTATGGTACATGGTGGACTTTAGATTAGCGGAGAGATAGAGACATACTCTAGGCTAGAGGGAGATCCCCAGGTTAGAAAGAGAAGTTATTGGGCTCCGAATTAGAGAGATGAAAGTGAAAGGGTCCAGGGTTAAAGTAAATGAGAGAGAGGGCTCTGAGTTAGAGAGAGAGGGTATTGAGTGGGAACAAATAGAAAAAAAATTAGGTTGTTGTGAATGTGTCATTCATTAGACTTGGTAAAAAAAAAAGTTTCTTGATCTTTGTGATCCACCTTAAACCATCAATTTGACCTCTAATGGCTTGTAAGAATTGTAACCTCCATGTAACAAAGAAACAAAAAAATAGTCTTATTGTATACAAGCCCATTTAAAGGTTTATTTTTTAAATGGAAATAAGACGTGAAATTCTGACCTCAAATAGTTGGAACAAGGCTTTGATGATGATGATGATGACTTAAGATGTGAAATTCAATCTAAGTCACTAAAAATTCTTGTTTTATATGGATTCAAGATATGAACTACAATGTATGTCATGCTAGATGAATTTCATGTTGAATCAATGATCTTGTATCTCAAACTATATTTGAGGAGAATTGAATTATATAACAGCAAATAGTTCAAAAATAAAATTTGAAATACTGTGGGTTTATGATTTAAAATCCTATAGCGTAATCTACTTACTTCGCACGTGATTTTATTTATTTTAAAATATATTTAGAAGGTTTTTAATAAGGTTGTGGTTTAGATAAGGTTGCAACTTTAAACCATCAAAGTAAGGTGCACTATCAAATTTTAACGTAAGATGTAATTTTGATATAAAAAATTCATAGGAATGTCTTGAGGATCTATTTTCATCTTTAATTATAAAATCTTAGACAAAAAATGATTCAAATCAAGTAGATCTATGAACACATGAAAATATTAAAAATAGACAGTTCAGATAATATGTTGCAATATGCACTATTTTTGAGACTTGAAATCTTTTTTCTTTTTCATATTCATACGTCTCGATGTGGAGATTATCAATTACAGGGTTTTCCAACTTTAAAATAATATTTTACGATGGATTTTTTAAGTGCAATGAGTTATGTTTGTGGTGCCGATTTATTGTGTTGCCAACTCAATTTGTGTGATGAGTTTAGATGTCAACCATAAGGGGCTCTAGAGATACGTAAGGAAAGTTAATAGTGATAATTTTCTACTATAAGAACATGTGAGAACAACCTATGTAACTTATATTGAGTCGGAACAATTGTAACTTTATAATTTGATTGATAAGTTGATATTATATTTATAAATAAATAAATAATTGATTAAGATTTAAAGTTGACATTCAATTAGAATTAATATTAAATAAACTACTGTTTAGAACAATACATGCCATTTTTTGTGTTGACACTATTTTGCCTTACTCACGCAACTTGTGTTATTATGAATGAAACCCTAAAAATATTTATATATAAATACAAATTTAGTATAGACCATATTATCCCTATACAAATACATAATAACAATAAAGGACAACTGAAAATTATACATTTTATTTTTGTACACACATTATTATCATTATCTTCCTCATCCGCAAGAAATAGAAGATAATCTTACCATCAAATACTTAGCCTATCTCTTTAGGTTTACTGCTACTTCCACCATTGGAAAAACAAGCTAATTTGAAAAATTGGCCGCATTTTCCATATCCAAATGCAACTTGAACAGGTGCCCCTGCAAATTGTGAATATGAGATGAGCGAGAATTAATATATATGGACGAAAATCCACAACATTATTTATTTGATCATTATTTACTCATTTTCTTTTTAGAGTTATTGAATTTAGGGTAGGGTTTGTACAAGGTGCCCACCTTATAATATACGAGTAAGGTGCCCCTCCAAATTTTGCCTGGAGAATAGTTTTAGTATCAGAAAACATAGGATAGCTTGAAAATCTATATTCCATCTCAATTATGAAATTAAAATTTTAGAAATTGTACAGATTGAGCAGATATATAAACAATTGAAAATAAAAATGGACGGTCCAGAATACTTGCTGCAAGATTACTAGTTTTAAGACTTAATTTTTTTTCTTTATATCAATAAATCTCGAGGTCGAGATGATCGGTTAGAAGGTTTGCCAACTTCAAAACACTCTTTTCTATTGGACTTTTAAGGTGTACCTTACTTTGGTAGTATATGATTACAACCCTATATAAACATTTTCTTCTAATTTATTGGAGATTAAACTTATTTCCCTTGGAAAACATTCTATCACTTAGCACCTACGAGAAAGGGGTGGGAGATGGGATGCAGGGATGGTAGCTTCAAGTTTTGATAGCTAGCCCTAAGTCTCAGATGATGGTGTCCGCCTCTGGAGAGAGAAAACAAGCACTATCATGCATGTGGCATGGTGTTCA